ATTCATTACTGATACGAGACTAAAATCTTATCTGACCCAGACATTGAAAGGTTTGCCCTAAGAACTACAGAATCATGAACTTTGTACCTATTATGTTGTCTGCTAACAATATCAGACCTACAGGAGGAAAGTCTTCTATATAACAGGCCTTTCTAACATCCTAATAAAATATTACTTAAAGAATAAATCTATAAAAACCAGAGAAATATGAATATGAACAATCAAGATGAAAAAAAACTATATATAAAAATCTTTATATTCCCATTCATACTACACCTGCAAGACCCTGACATACTGGTTCCTGATTCCAATGTGCTTTCTCCATGCACTGTTCTTTTCTGATATCCTCTAACGCTCTAGTAACATGATAAGCCACTCCGATTCTCCGCACGCTTTGGAAGACGATACAAATTCTGCTTCAGTAGATGACTGGGCAAAAATTTCTGGTTCACAACTTGTCCAGCACCACCCCCATAAAAAAGAGATAACTGCTAGTGCTGGGGTGTCGAACTCATTTGTTATGAGGGCCAGATCTGACATAAATGAGACTTCGTTGGGCCGGCCCATGTGTGTCATAAAAGGTAATGCCAGGTAGTGGAGATATAACCTTTATAAAGGACACAAACACAATGAAAGATTTTTTAAACTTTAAATAAAACATGCTTAAAACACTAGCACTCTTGCAATATTTTGTCTATTTAACAGTCTCTGATAACTGACACCTCTTGCTCTGAGTTATCGCAGCAGCAGAACTGGAAAAGGAAGCAGGAAATAGCCAGGGCCTTGCGGGCCGGATTGCAGCCCTCCAAGGGCCTGAGCCGGCCCCCGGGCCACATGTTTGACACCCCTGCACTAGTGGATCCGAGGTCTGGTCTTTCTCCAGCCCAGTTTGCACCAGCATATCCCAACCGTGTGGCATTATTGGTTGCTGGCAGTCCAATCCTTTGTGGTGGGTGTGTTAAGCCTTCTGGATAACACAGCTGTCCCAGTGTCAGGTCTTGTCATCACTAAGTATAGAAGCTTGCTGTTGTCTGGCAGTGGTTCATGGGGTACCTTTCTTTGTAGAAGACTGACTCCATTGGTGTGGGCATTGGATTAACACCTCCCAGGCAAGGCTCCCTCTAAGCTGTGGAGTCTTGTGAGCAAGAATTCTACTTAGTGAGCTACTGGCATTAAAGTTGTGAGCAGGTGATTTGGCTGCTGCATAAACTAGTCTGCTCTGGAGCCATCCTTCCTGAGCTAAGACAAAAAACTGTGAGCTGGAGCCTAAAAAACTGTGAGCTAGCTCACACTAACTCAGCTTAGAGGGGACACTGCTTCCAGGCCCAGGCGTTGCAATAGTTCCAGTATCTTCTGCTTTTTAACGTCCGTCTGGTTCCCATTCAATCTGAATTCCCAAGAAAAAAATTAGCATTGCCTAGGTGTTTGACTTCTACTTCCTTGCTTAGTTGGGACCTAATCTCAGCATAGTCATTTTGATTTCCATGGCAAACAATCAGATCATTGACACAGGTCAGCAATCAGCATAAATGTCCATCTTCCATCTCTGTGTCTGCTGCAAAGACAGGAGTCAGCTTTGCTTTCTTTGAAGCCCCGATTGGGGAGCATCTTGGTCGGCTTGTCTGACCACACTTTTGCAGGTTGTTTAAACCCATAAAGCCCCCTTTCGAAGTTTACAGACTGGATGTTTATTCTTTTTCTCTGTAAACCCTGGTGGCTGTCTCATGTATAATTCTTCCTCTATTTCTCCATGTAAAAAGGCAGTCTTAATGTCTAAGTGTTCTGTTTGCATGTTTCTGGAAGCTGCAATGCTTAGGAGCAGGGGTTATTTCCTGTGAGAGTGCACAGGAGTGGAGCTCCGGCAGTAAGGAGCCCAGGGGGCGGGCACACGCAACAAGCCCCACCCCCTGCTCCCAGCAGCCCTCAGTTGGGCCACGAGGAGCAAGAAGCAGCCCTGGTCCAAAACAGTCCAGTGGCAGCTCTCTCTTTTTGTTTTGTTTTATATAACTCTTTAAAATGTATGGCTCTTTCTGTTCTTTTGTTTTGTGTAATCCTTAAAAACTAATAAACTTTGCCCATTTGGGCAAGCAAAAAAAACAAAAACAAAACAAAGCAGTCCAGTGGCACCTTTAAGAACAAGTTTTATTCTGGTACAAGCTCTCCCTCCTCTGCGAGGACAGACCTGTACGTCTACTAACCCCCCTAATAGCTAGCAATCCAAAAGAGTCCAGTGGAGCCTGAGAGGTGGGTGTTGCCTTCTGACACACTTCCGGCGATGTCAGGGGGTGTGGCATATGCAAATAAGTTATGCTAATGAGTTATGCTACTGAGCTCCTGCACCTCTTTTTCTACGAAATGACCCCTGCTGCTACCCACCTGCAGATGGCCACCGGCTTATGAGACCAGGCATGCATATGTGCACTGCCAGAGCTGCATCGGTTCCAGCCTGTGTCTGTGGTCCCTGATCACCCCTCTGACCACTGGTGTAGCAAGCAACAAGGCAAGAACACTAGGATTCCTGTAGAGTTCTTGTTGTGTGTGTGTGTGGGGGGGAAGGAGTTTGCACATATTTAGAAACACACACAGTCTGAAAAAAGCCAAAATGTCCAGCCTGTGTCTGTGGTCCCTGATCACCCCTCTGACCACTGGTGTAGCAAGCAGCAAGCAAGAACACTACGATTCCCGTAGAGTTCTTGTTGTGTGTGTGTGTGGGGGAGAAGGGGTTTGCACATATTTAGAAACACACAGTCTGAAAAAAGCCAAATTAGCATGTTTATTTAAGATCAAGTCAAAAGGTGAGGGAATGAGTAATTCAAGGTCCGGAAGAGTAGCTTAAGTTGAGATCTTCAGAAGAGATAAAATCCACAGAAATAATTTGAGGGGGGGGGGAGAGAGCAAGGTCTACAATTGTAATGGCAGATTAAGCTCCACCACCACCCCCCGGCCCATGTTTACAAGGAACTTCAGAAGTTGGCAGAGATTTGGGCTTCTTTTCCAAAATTTGCGCTAGGTACCACTTCGGTGGGAAGGGAACAGCGTTCCATGCGCCTCGGTGTTTAGTCATGCCGGCCACATGACCACGGAAACGTCTTCAGACAGCGCTGGCTCTTCGGCTTGGAAACAGAGATGAGCACCGCAACCCTAGAGTCGGACTCGACTGGCTTTCAAGCAAGGGAACCTTTACCTTTCTGATCATGTGCTCACGGTTTTAGATCCACAACCAACGGAGTGATGGGAGAGCAGAAGGGGGAAAAGCTTGTCACTTGAGTCTTCAAATCTGCACAAAGCTAAGAAGTCAAAGAGCGCAAAATCTGAATCTTGCATTTGGTATTTCTCTGTGGACTTTCAACGCGTGGCGTGGAGTTCAGCTTTTAATGAGAGGCCTTCCCTGCGAGCACATGTGGGTGCGAGCCCGGCCGCGCATGCCTGGGAAAGAATGTGGCAGTGCTCGCAGCAGCCCAATTAATTCTGATTAGCTCTACCACACCCCTTTACTCTTGGGAGGGAGACGCAGAGCAGTTATCCAATTCCCAAAGCAACCCGGAAGGCTTTTTCTGAAAACGAATTTCTTTCCTAAAAATGATAAGTTCTATATGCCGGCAAAGTGGAGCAAATGGGTCTTTTGAAATCCTTTCTTTGTTTTTTAAAAAACCCCACTCTTGTTTAAGATAAATTAAATAAGAATAATTGTCTGCCTGTTCTAAAACAATTTTTTTTTTGGTCTGGGGTGGTGTCTTTATCTGCTGCCACAGTAAGTAAAACTGCAGGTCATAAATGGCTAATTGATTTCTGTACATGGATTAAATTTGAAGCACTTTACGCGAGCAATGGGAGAAAAATAAGCAGGTCACAGAGGCTGCGCTGCGTTGCGAGAGAGACAAAGAAATTGATTTGAAAATCGATGCTTTGAGAAATGATTAAATGTTCTCCTTGCCAGAATGGACCTAAATGAGTCTCTGAGGTTCTTACAGAGATGAATTAATTAGAAGACTCTACAGATGCCGGTGGGACGTTGTGTTCCCCCTCCGATTTGTTCTTCTAACCTGCTGCATTGACAAGGAAGGAGGAGGCATGAGAGAGGTGGTGGTGGGGAAGAGAAGCTTCGATACGCAGCCGCCAGTGTCTTGTGAAGAAATGCAGTTCTCTTGCCCCCTTTTGGGGAAGCTGAAATTCTCGCTCTGACACCCTCTGTGCCCCTTTGCAAAACAGCTGGAGCTGGGCGAAGGCCATTTTTTGCCACTGAGGTGGGAAAACGCGGTTCCTGGAAGACTGAGGGGATCAACGTCCCCTTTCATACAATAATGACACTAGCCCGTATCCAGTCCCAGACACTTGTTAACTGTACAAATGGAGTGGACGTGGAAAAGAAACTCTCAGTTTGGTGTAGTGGTTAGGAGCATGGACTCTAATCTGGGAGAACCGGGTTTGATTCCCCACTCCTCCACTTGCACCTGGCTGGGTGACTTTGGGTCAGTCACAAGTTCTCTCAGAGCTGTTCTCACAAGAGCAGTTCTCGAAAGAGCTCTCTCAGCCCCACCGACCTCACAGGGTGTCTGTTGTGGGGAAGGGAAGGGAAAGGAGACTGTAAGCCGCTCTGAGACTCTGTGTGAAGGGTGAGATATAAATCCAATCTCCTACACCTTCTCCTCCTCCTCCTCCTCCTCCTCCTCCTCCGCCCCATCTAGCATGGAA